CATAAACACTATTTAACCCTGTTATCATGATCACTGCTTAATCAGAATTAGTAATTCCAAAACAAAGATCTTAGATGATTTGCTTCTGGAATACAGTGCAAATGAAAATTATTCAATTCACCCCATTGAGTATTCTTTGCAATTTCCATTTCTGTTGAAGTGTCAAGTATTTGTACATTTGGCACTTAGTTAATGAGTGAAAAATAAGAGTAGATTTCGAAGCAACAAATGGAAAAACCCAGCCATTTGTGTAAAAGTGTCCCTCTCCTGGATTACACCATAGGATAAAGATACAAAAAATAAATATGATGGGCGGGAAAGCATAAAAGAGGATTTATTTTATTCAGTTTTAGGCACAGTGTGGCACATACACTAATATCTTTGCTGTTCTTGATTCAATATGAATAATCTGCTGTCAGTTTCTGCTTAGCTTTGGACACACTAGAGAATCCTAATACAAATCTTGGTAACTTAGTGGAATGCAGAATTGCTTACTCAACTTCCTATTTTTTCCTCTCTAAATCTGCTTCATTGACACAATACATAATTGCAGTACTAAATGAGCTACATTCCTCATCACATGCTACACGTTTTTTTATCGTTAAATGTATCTGTAGATTTCTACATAGGTAATAAATGGGATAATAGCTAACAACAGCAGTAAAAATTGAAAGGAACATAAAAGGGAAAGTGTAGTTTAGGGGAAGGAAAAAAATAGAAGAAGACATAGTCTAATTCTAGTATGGCTAGAATTTGTATTTGTATTTGTATTTTATTATTTGTATGCCGCCCTTCTCCGGGAGGACTCAGGGCAGCGAACAATTCAAGGGGGGAAAAAAGGGGGAACATAAAAGACAAAATACAAAAAATAAAAGTAGACAACAGTCGCACAGCCATACATGTCGAGAGGGGAGGGAACTCATCACCCCCAGGCCTGCCAGCAAAGCCAGGTTTTGACGGCTTTTCGGAAGGCCTGGAGAGAGGTGAGGGTCCGAATCCCTGCGGGGAGTTCATTCCAGAGGGCCGGAGCTGCCACAGAGAAGGCCCTCCCCCGGGTAATAGCCAGGTGGCATTGGCTGGTAGATGGCACCCGGAGGCCAACCCTGTGAGATCTAATGGGTCTGTGGGAGGTAATTGGCAGCAGGCGGTCTCTCAAGTACCCAGATCCAATACCATGAAGGGCTTTATAAGTTACGACTAGCACCTTGAAGCGTATCCGGAGACTGATCGGTAACCAGTGCAGCTCGCAGAGGATAGGTGTAACGTGGGTGTACCGAATGTTGTTTTCAAAACATGTAGAATATCTGTTGGACAGTCTGTAAGCCAGAATACCCTGAAATACAAGTCAAGACTATTGGGTTTTTGGGAGTTGAAAGTGCTACCCGGTTTGAGTGATTTTTTGGGAATTGTGATCAGAAAACAGAACTATATACCAATTGACCCTCAATCTATATTGGATTTGGTGATATTTAGCAAGAGAGGAACTATTGATAAAGTTGTCCTGGAGATTCTGAATTCCTTTGAACTGCTTTGTTTGAAGGTGTCAGCACCAGAAGTATTGGTGGCTTGCAGAGAGGGTATGAGATTGGTTGCAATCTCTGAAAGGAAAGGGCTTGGTATTTTGGGTGGCAGAGGCAGCAGTAAACAATAGCCTTTGCAGCAGGGGAGTCTTCCTATGGTGCTGAGCGTCTTCTGATGTGGAGATGGTATGATTGAAAGAGGAAATGAGGCAAACATGGAGGCTAACAACAAGGCTAAAGGCTAATCCATATAGAGTGTCACTACCGTCTATTTTGTTTGCCTTAGAGCGTAAAATGGCATACATGAAGCTAGAATTAATAACAAACTGTCAGGTGAGAAACTGCTGTGTCATTATTGCAACAGAAATTTGGTTAAAGCATTCTGTCCCGGATAGGGCTGTTAGCTTGGGTGGACTTTCAACATTTCAGCTTATTTTCTTTTGAGAGAGGGCATCAGAATTTTTTTAAGGTATCCAGTGTGTTCACAGGAAAAGATGAAAATAAAGGTTATCTTATATCATATCATCTCACCTCATCCTACCCTACCCTATCTTATCTATATGGCAGCTGGGTGTATTTCTGAACTGTTGGATAACTGCATAACAGAACGGGCTTCTAGGAAAGAATGTACATGTAAAACTCAATCGTGTCTAAGCAGGGAATTCATCCCACATGAGCCCATGATCCACCTGTGGCAGTAGGAAACCTGTTCCATATATATCTGATCCAAAGATGTCAGTATTGTTGTAGAGAGCGGAAGTCATCTTGCAGTATACAACTATAAAGGCCCAAAGCCTGCAGTGAGTCTGTGGCATCTCAGTATGTACTCAGTTATCTTTTCAGTTCACATACCTCTTTGTTGAGGAATTCAAAAATGACTGTCCCCAACCAGTGAACCCCCTTTGCTGTGCATAGAGTGCAACTCATATTCAAGTGGAGAATAGAGAAATTGGATTGTTGCTCTAGGTTTCAGGGGGACAGGAGAGTATCACATCATCATTTAATAAAATACATTTTTTCTTTTTATGACATGCTTTACATTTAAAGGAAATGTTTTAAAACTGTGTTGAAGATAGACAAACAGGTACCATAGATATATCTCAACATTTTGAAAAATTTCCCTCGATCCAAATGAAAAGGATAAGCTATCATTTTTAAACCAAGCCTCTCCCACATAACTGAAACCAGCTTTGTGTACTTTTTTAAACTCTACATTTCTCCAGGATCAGTGTAATTTAATTGAAATAGTGCTGCATGTGTAAACAGCTCCTTTGTTTAAAGAAGATTCCACTGTTTAGTTTGCCTTAAGTAAATGCAGCCTTTTGTTTGTCTGTAAAACATTTGATTAAATGTACGGGCTAATATAGACCGCTAACATTCCTCTAGTGGGCTTATATGAGAAGTTTGAAATACATTCTCGCATCAAACTGCAGAGTAAATGCCCCTTTTAAGAACTGAAAAACAAACCACAACCCTAGATTCTCATATAATTAAAAAAACATTAACTTTCCAGCATTCTTGGTGTTCTTATAGTTTTGCAATAATATTTTAGTGGTCACCTTTCCAATCTTGGAAATTTTAGTAAGGTCCATCCTTTGCTGTTAAAATAGGAATGAGGTGGAATTTGTTGACCTGCATATTTTTAGTAGCATTTGTCAAAATTCATCTGTCATAAACATAAAAGATAATTCTTGAGGGGGAGGGATAATAATTGCAGGAAGCAAAAGAAAAGAAAAGCAGGTGTCTACCTTTACTGTGAAGGTCAATGTGTGTGTTTTTTTAATAGTCACAGGACTTTCCAAGAGAGACCAAATGCATACTGTTGGTGGGTGTATTCCAGAACGTGAGGTCTCCTTTGAAATAATTAATGCCAACTTGTGCATGTTACATTTAATTATATATGTTCTCTTTTTTGTCTTCATGTAAAGCACTCAGGGCAGCTTAAAAAATGATCAACAGAAACAATTAAAACACAAGAACACACATAACTAAAATTATCCTCTGCTTATTTACAAGAAAGGAGGACTGGTGGAAGGAATTGTCAGGTGCCATGCAATTAATGACTTCAGAATCTTTGATGAATGATGAAGATAAAGTTGCAAGTTGCCATCTGCTAATTTATGCCATAACTACCAGGGAGCTATAGCTAAATCGATTCTTTGTATGGAATTTGAGATTATAAGGATGGAATGATAACAGAGATAAACATATCACCCACAGCAGAGATTCTAGAACCTAAGAATAGATGATCATCAGATATTGGCAGTGTATACAAAATAATCTCCCAGAAAGTTCACAAATGTCCAATTCCTATTAGTTAATATTACTCTACAACAAAGGATCTCCATAATGCTAATTCTGCTGTCTCTAATTTGCACTCAAATGAATTTAATTTATTTGTATAAAATGACAAGTGTTTATAGAAGCTACTTTCTCACTGATTTCGTTATATTTCTCTTATAACCAAGATATAATGTGAAATCACATTATTTCTATTTTTAAAAAGTAAAATATGCACCTATCTTTTGAAATGGTATAAAAGATTCATCATAAACTTTGACCTAATTCAAATGTTATCAATAAATGGAGTATTCCTGGATTACAATACAGCCCTTAGCTAGGACTGGTAAGGTGTTTATATCTCATTCCAGTGTAGTTCTTCAGTCCTGGGGATCAAAGATGTTAGAATGGAAAATAACTCCTAGTAGCCCATCTTAATTCAAATTTTCCAAAAGTGTAAAGTGTCAATGAAGCCAGAGTGCTGGTACTTACATTTGAACCAAGACATAATCTCTTGTTATGTACATTAAATAATAATTAAGTTTTTAGTGTTGTATGCACCAAATCGTTCTTGGGGAAGCTGTTAGCAGGTACAGTTTTACAGCTCCAAATCCTGAAATGGTATAAAATTTTGATTTTGTAACTTGATATAGGAGAGGGAAAGAATAGCAAGTTTACCATCAAATATACAAATTTTGTGTTTTGTAAATAAATATAAAGAACTTTATGCAAAAAAAAGCTTCCGTGTCTAGCTTTCTTCCACAAAGTAAATATGACAGTCAAATTGTAAAAATTGGACAGTAAGCCATGGGTGAAGCCAGAAGTGATGTTCCTTGAATAAATTATAGCAATATAGTAAATAAGCTTTTGAGTTTGTTTCAAGTTGGAATAAAAAAAGGCCTTATATTGTGACAAGATAGGCAGGGTGAAAAAACAATGGCTTTTCATATAAAGGAAATTAGCCATTACAAACATTTGCTGCTTTTGCCATTTATTTATTTACCTGGTCATTATTTAGATTTATATGACCTCCTTTGCTGTTATATATGACATACTTTATTTCCATCCATAGAGATTTTGATGCGTTCAACATATCACCACTCATAATAATAGACAAATATGCATCCATAATCATAAAAGGTATTTTAAAATAACCTTTCATTTATTTGTATAATTAATATAGTTTTCTTCTTGATTTAGGCAATGCTGGATGTTGCGGCAAATGAGGGATGGTTGGTGACAGTACTAAATCTTACCAATTTGGTACAGATGCTGGTTCAGGGACGATGGATCCATGACTCCTCTTTGCTTACTTTACCTAACATAGAATATCACCATCTTCATCTTTTCAGGTATACAGTTAATTATTTATAAAGCTGATCTTTTAATGCAGGACAATATAGTGCTGCTGTCTGTCCACTCTCTTCTTGTTGAAACTTGTGATATAACATTAAAATTATTCATATCTCAGTCACTCACATACTTTGGAGATTTTGTCTTCTACTGGGTTCTTACCCCTTTCATAAAATTAGAATCTTTCAATAAAGCTGAATAATCAGAGAATGAAGAGAGACCAAAGGAAATGCCCCTTCATTTAATCATACTGGTTTTGTTCTCAAAGATATATCAAATGTAGCAATGTCTTCCAAATTAGACATTTTAAAAGAAATTAATCAAACTGAAGGAGAATAAAGCTATTAGTGAATAGCAACCCTAACAGCTACACATTACCTGATATGGACACATATTAGTAATGTCAATGAATAGGAGTGGCTAGAGAATGAGACCAATAATTGATTCTTGTACTCAACAACCTGCATATTGGCTTCCTATATAATGTTTTCTTGTTGCCAGATGTGACTCAGACCGTTGAACTAGATAAGCCCATGTTATGGTTCACTTCTCATGAGCTACCTTCATATTTGTATAAACAAACTTCAATTTACATAATGGATCTTCTTGGATTCATTTTGAAATGTCCAATATAGCAAATTTAGAAATATATGCTTATCAAGGTTAAGGGAATTAGAAGTAGAGAAAGACAACGTATGAGATAGATAGACAAGGCTGGGCATATCATTGGAGTGTCCTTGGAAAAGTTTTGGTTTGTCATCAACAACAGGTTAAGATGATGACCATGAAGTTTCCAGGAATCACGTTTGATTCAGTGGCACTTAATTATAAGAGAAAGTGAAGACCCTTTAAGATTGATTTCTATTCTAATGCAAACAGCCATCATTGGAACAAACTTTGATTTCCATACAATTTGCTATTCAGCATTAAACCAAATGTTGCTAGTCTTCTGATGATTACATAAGCCTATGAAATGCCAAAACTTTCCATCTTTGTGCCTACAATAATCCTGCTGCAGTTATCATATAAAAAAATAAAGTTTTAAAAGTAAGATGTAAAGTTATCATTATACTTATAAATGGAGTACAATTTCTACCTCTGTGAACATTTGAAGCCACTTCTTTTTGTTTTCTAGTCTTCTTTTACTTTTTACTTTTCTTGCATTTTCAGTTTTCTGTCCAATTTCCTTTTAGTTTTCTCCTTCTTACTGTATATTTTTCTTTCTTATAAAAATTGTAGTAAAATCATACAAAACTACATAAGCCTATGAAAGAAATCACTATGTCATTAATTTTAAAGTGTAATTTAAACTAGTAATGTTAATCTACGTGATACTTTTAATCCATGCGGTTTAAAACAACAGGCAAGTGGTTTAATAATCTGCAATCTTGAGCTATGGTACAATTGTCAGTGTGGTACTTTTAGACATAGAACAGGCTCCATGCCAGCTTTAGAGGCAGTCTGTCATTTTAACTTTATTAAATCCAAAAAGTATTTTGTGAAAGGCTGCTAAGACACCCTGTACTTTAAATAGCTTTTACATTTTTTTTCTTTCAAAATGTCTTTACAACTTCATGTTCTTATCTTTGACTTTTTTTTTAAGAAGGGGATGTTCCCTGAACTGAAAATCTCAATGATCATACATTTTCTATTTTATTAGGAAATGGAGCCAAGGGAAAAGAAAAGGTGCTTATCAAGGACCTATTGAATGTCTTCCTGAACTGATGGCTGCCTGTGATGGAAAAGAGGATATTTTTGCTTCCATTGTGGATTGTGATTTGACTTCCACACACATTACGCAGGTAACAATTGTCTATCTATCCCACTTAATATTACTAAAGAAATAAAGCTGCATGGTATAAATGCAATGACTGATAATCTTTCTTAGAACTGCATAGAAGATTTGTAGTAGCTCAGTTCAGTCTGTTCTACAGCATAACTTTCCTCCTGCCTATCCATTCTTTCTCCCTCCAAACTCTGCATTGCTAGAGCTCAAACTTACTGGTCAAAGTCAGACATAATTGCTTTGGACCAAAAGTTCACACACACTCACCTGTAGGTGGGTATCTATTTGTGTGTGTGCCGTACTGTGTAATTGCTGTAATATCAAAGAGGTCGTTGAGTTGTTTATGCTAATCCAGTACAGTATCCTCACTGGGATGCAAGTTTTTTTATTTATAGACCCATTATCTGACCAACTATTTCATTTTATGCATTAAAAAATGAAATGCCCTCTATCTTAAAAAACATATTTATTGTAATTTATTGCTTTTTCACAGTTCCTGCCATTTCCCAATATATAGTTCATCATTTTAAAAGGATTAGAAATAGGATACAATATTTATGCTCATCATCAAAGAATCATTATTTATAATAGATCTTGGGTTCCCTGACATTTTAGAGCCACAAAGATACACTATAGGGTGGCTAGTGTATTCTGCTATTCACTTAGTCCACAATTATCAGTACACATGTATGGCTCATCACAAAAAATGAGTTTCATATTGCCATATAATTATACCTGCCTATATAGTGTGTAAACTATATTTTGCATGCCTTGATTGCTTTTTATACACCAGAAATTCTTGGAAAGTAAGATGATACAGTAGTCTTGCTGGAAAATTTCTTTAGGAAATCAAATTAATATTCTCCCTTTAACTTCTGAGAAAATGAAACTTATAGAAACATAACACCACACATATTGATCATAACAATGAAAAAATATTAAAAATAAAAACAAAAAAATTATTACCACAGATTTCAAATGTAATATATGTTGACTTCAGTCCAAGTTATAGATGTGTTGAAAAATTAGAATATTGTTATAATTAGTTCAGGGAAAACTCAGAAGTAAACTAACTTAATTTATTTGCATAAATTGCCGTTCTGTTATCTTTAAAACCAAATGCAAATTGTCTCCATCTGATACGATGATGGTTATTTGGCTCAAAAGTGCTTCAATTTGCGTAGCAATCTGGTGTCGTCTCTGCAGTGAGACGATCTCAGGTAACATACAAATCCTGAATTATTCCAGAAATTAGTATGTTTAAAGCATCAATTTAAGTGCTAATTGCAGTAGTAATGAGAAAAAGCAGTACTACTGTGAGATTTGCATCTACTTCCCCATCAGTATGCCCGGAACAGCGGCTGACTGGCAGAGGATTTGGCTGCTAATTAAATAATAGTATGCATGGTAGTGTTCGCGTCTGATTCAATAGATGAAGATTAATCCTCAGATAAATATGTTTGGCTGGTATTGAAATGTCTTAGCAGTTTCTTCAAAAATAGCTTTTGTGTATGGGGCGCGTCCATCTCATTCATGTGTCTTTTTAATATGTCAATAACATAAACTGCTTACACCACACATCTAGATGCATGTAACTGTAAATAAAAATACATTCTGCTACAACATAAAAGAAACCAGTCAAATATCTTGGCAAGGGAAATGAGCACTGAGGAAACCTTTTATTATACTTTGCTCTTAAATCTTACCACTCTGCTACATGTGTATACCTGCCACATACTTTTAAAAGGGAACCTATGGTAGAAATACGTTGCTGGGATTAATTAGGCTTAAGTTTTCATCTACTACTTTCTAAACCTACCACAAATCCGATGAAATAAAAATCTGTAGAAAATGTAAATCACTTTGTTGATTAGGAATATAATCAAGTCTTCCAATAAAGGCCACATCCACTAGCAACAGAGTCCAAAGGGATAGACTTCTCTCTTGTGCTGCCTGCCATTGTATACAGACAAGCAGTATGATGAAAACTGGCCTCCTTTAAATCATGGGTGTCAAACTACATCACGTTACCGTCAGGTGACCTTTTGTGATGTTTTTCCCATTTGCCGGGCTTGGGTGGGTGTGGCTTGCGTTTGACGCATTCGACCCATGGACCACCAGTTTGACACCTCTGCTGTAGATGTTGGATTTGAGAATGAGTGTTCTACATACATTCACATGTATTTACACACTTTTCATTCCCTGACCAGATCTGTATATTACAAAAACAAAAACAGGCTTACCACCAAAAAGACATGGTCCACTGCATCACTCAGCAGGGAGAAAGACATGGAAAAATTTAGTGAGTTAAGGTGTTGCACTGGCACTGGAGGGATCTAGGTTCAGGACTGTTCTTAGCCTTGGAAGCTCTATGAAGAAAAGTTGGAGGAGGAAGTGCTGTGCACACCACTTTGAAGTCCTGAAAAGGGTAGATGAGGTAGAAACTATGAATAAGGTTTGCATTAGATATACTGGAATTCTGTCATAATGGCTTTATAGGTGTCTGTAATAAACTTGTCTGAGATTCTGGTTCCTTGAATTGATTGTATTGCATTGCATTAGCAGCCAAGGGAAGCCCAACACTACAGTTTTTCAGAATATTTGAAAGAAAGGAATTTTTCCCAGATTTTGATAACAAAATATTAATTTTTATATTATAATTTGGAGACTCGTTTCATTGTTGAAAGAGACCATTTTTACTTTTTTGTTGCTACTTAAATTTCACACCAAGCATTGAATGATGAATTCCTAATTGGGGGGGGAAATAAACAGCTAAAAAGTGGGTATATGTATGTGCTACACTAAGTAAGAATGTTCATGTTGTAACAGTATATTCATTTTGCATTCTTCAACTATTCTCTGAAAATCAAATCAACATTAAAGGAAATTGAGCAGCTAAAAAACAGACATTTTAACAAAATCTGTTTTGTTATACCTTGTGCAGAGATAGTTGGATCCTCTAAGGAATCTATATTTAGGGAAGTTGACTCATCAAACATAGCCAGTGTTAGAGGTAGTTTTAAGGTTAGGATGGCAATTGGGACTGGGATTGCCATCCCTAAGTGATGCAATCATAAAGTTTGTGTCATGACTGCATTGCTCAGAAACTGTCAGTGTAGCCTGTAGACCAGACACGTTGTTCAACAGGAAAAAGTGGGAGTCTCAGGCAAGGAGTACTGAGGCATTGGGTACTACGGGCAGGCCTGGGAAGAGTAGACAAGTAGATGAAGGCCATAGGTAGGTGCTAGGAGATATAGCTGGGCAAGGGCCACAGGCTGAGGATCATGGGCAGGGGGGACATGGGGTGTAAGAGCTTTGGTAGATCTTTTACTCTGTAACGGGGCTTCTCAGGAGAAAATTCAGCACAGCAACTTTAAAAAGTGACTTGTAACCTTCCCTGCCATCTTTTCCATTGACTTATGGGTTGCCAGTAAGGAAGATTGCAAATGATGATCACATGTTGGGGGCTCATTGTGATGTTATAATCATGAGCCATTGTATCTGAACACCTGGATTGTGACAACAAGGACACTGAAGCAGCTGGAATTTCACAGACCAATTGTAACAGTCATATGACCCCTGAATGAGGGGTCATAGGTTGGGGATTACCTGTACTAGTTCTTAGCCTTTATTCAGTTTGTAGCATAGCTTCATCTGATTGAACACATAAACAATTGTTGGAATATCTAATCTGGAAGAGTATAACAAAATATTGCCCATGAAACATTGATATTTTTAAGAACATTTAATATTAAAGATTCATTTCAAAAAAGCCGAGAAACCTGGAAGCATGGATAACTTAGAATTTAGATTTGAAATAATTATGTCAAATGATCCTCTTAATTCTGTATTTGCCTTATCATTAACCAGTGTTTCATTCATGGATTGTGTTGGGGAGAGTTAATTTAGAATTATAAATAGAATTCAGTAATTGAAAACATACTACTTACCTTACTAAATATGTTACTCTTGAGTAGTTCCATGCTTACTTGGATAGAAGTAGCCAAAGCATAGAATATTGATTATAATTATTTGAGTTGTTTTGTTAAAGTACTACTGACTTTTGTGGAAATGTAAGGAAAACTTACTTATATGTGATTCTCCCAAGGAAGCATTTCTAAATTATCTACATTCCATTGCCTGTGCTTCTTTCTATGTAACTTTCGTGATCTATCAAGCTAGATCTTTGGGGGGAAAGCCTGTGTAGGCTTAATTTAATATATTTTAATAAAGTTAGAATAACTGGAAATGTTTGTTTATCTTCTTGCTCTTTGTTCTTTTCACAGGCTTGGCATTACTTGTCCCACTTGCCAGTTATAGAGATTAGTATGATTATTAAAGGTTGCTGGGATGACACAGTCCATGAACAAAAGGAAATGATTGTTCCAATGTTGTCAATGAACATTCGGGATGATAAAAAATGGATGAAATTGCACGCAGATCAAGAATATGTTCTCCAGATTAAGTTGCATAGATTGCGTATTGGTTTCACCAAGGTAAGGTATCCTAGGGTATCGCTTAATGCCCATTTTTATTTTTTTCCAATGTATTGTATATTTTAGAGTCATTATAATAGATTTAGAGCAAATCAGTTTTATATGATTAATATTTTGCTGTTATATGGCTGATGTTTTTTCTATTAACAACTTATTTATTATCAATTGTTCAAAAGGTGGTGGCTAGATAATTGAGTCCTATTTTACTCCATCTGGTTCCATTCTTTCATACTGTTTTGAAAAAATAGTGTCAAAACTGTAGTGAATAAATAAGTACGTGGATCACTTTATGTATTTTTTAAAATAATGTTATTACATTGTTTAAAAAGAAACAGAGAAAACAATATATCAAAGCAAATTAAGACAGTAATACATACACACCCAATAAATTAATTAGTTATTAAGTTAGAACATCACAACAAACAAAAGGGAAAAAATAAACCTCTAAAAATAATATAAATTGACATAAAACAACTAAACATATCACATATTTATTTAATAACAATAAATCTAATTATGCATATAAATTATATATTTTTCTGAAATACCATGAAATCTATGCCGATGGTTACACTATAATTTTATGAGAAAAAAATGGCTGTTTTCAAAAATTGACCAGACAATATTTCTTGAATTCAGTCTTTAATAACTGAAGTAACAGTAGTTTCCTAGCCTCAGTATCGTTTGTCTGTTTCTGGTATCAAAGATAGCCAGTGTTCCTGAAGAACAGACATTTCTGCATTTTACATTTTAATATGGAGAATAGATTTGTGTAATGACAGTCTTAAATTATATTTTCTTTCAGGGCAAGCAAGACACCAAAGCAATTGCACCTCGATTCCCTAAAGTCAAGGATGAGGGATGGTTTGTGATCCTAGGAGAAGTGGACAAAAAAGAGCTGGTGGCTCTGAAAAGAGTGGGCTATGTCAGAAATCAGAATGTGATCTCAGTTGCTTTTTATACCCCAGAAATACCTGGAAGGTAAGATGATGTAGCTTGGTTTTTTAAATTATTATTTTGAAAGAAGATTGATTTGGAAATGAAAACCAATGTCCTTTCCTCTCTTCCAGATATATCTATACATTGTATCTTATGAGTGACAGTTACCTTGGAATTGACCAACAGTATGACATTTGTCTGAACATCTTACCAGCTAGCACCTCAGCACAGGTCAACACTGAATTCTCTGATACTTTTAATGACTTGGGCTTGAAATAATATGCCATATGGACTTTCCTTCTCTAGCATTTTCACTCGGGGAATAGGGAAGACTGTTTGCCTTAGTGCAATCAGCATCCAGCTTCAACACCAGAAAATTGAAAATGACTGCTGTATTGATTCTGATGACAGAGTTAGCCTCAGTGGCCTTTTTGACCTGATAAACCAGTTGCATTTTTAAACATTAGTTTTGTAGCCTTGTAAAAGCAGGTCGGTTTTTCTATTGATATAAATGCCACCATTCCTTCCAGACAGATTGGTATTTGTCAGGAATAGACATTTTAATTGGCAAGAACTAATTTTTCCATTACTTGATAGGAAGTCGTGCTTGCAACCGCTTCTCAAGATCCAAAAATACAATTTGTATAGATATAAAGGAGCTACCTGTGCAACTGAAGAAGCCACTAGAGTAACTATTGCTGCAAAAGAGATGAATTGGTAACATCACAAGACATTTTCAACGATGTGGACATGGCCAGTGGATTTCACTCACAGCCATTTGGTACATCTGCTAGGATATATTGCAAGATTTTTTAATTGAAGACAAACCCTTGTGACAAATTTGTCATTTCACAATTTTCTATGTGAAATATGTATGACATGGAAATAAAGTTCAGCACTTAAGAACATTGTGTGTTTGCAGAATCACTGGAACTTCAAGAATTTCACTAGTCAGTGATATCTTATCAGCTCTGATTTTCCAGCAGTGTAAGTTGATATGGGGAAACATAAAAAAAAAAATCAAGTATATCTTATTAAGCATTTAAAGGGTTTCTGGCTCACCTTTCAAAACACATGGCATCAAAAGCTTATTTTTGCAAAAGAAATAAAGTACTTTAAAAACATTTAAAAAGAAATGTCCACTTCAAAGTGATTAATTAAATCTTGCAATAAATGCAAAATGTTCAGAGAATAAATTGCAATGCAAATTTCTGCAATATGCACAACTTGGAACACATTGGTATGTGGAATTCTATATACAGGGCTTGGAATACTTGTCTAAGAAATATTTTTAGAGGGAAATAATTTATTGTTAGAACAAAGTAAGCCTTCAGTAGTGGTAAAGATTTTCGTAATAAAAACTGCTTATTTTACTTTAGTGAATTTTTGAGAGGCCTGAATAAAAGCCAAATGCAGTAGTTCAGACTTTCTTCCTAATTATCACCTAATTAGTAGCAGTGGCAAGGACCTGATTTTTATATCAAAGTAAAATACATAGCATAGTACATAACATTAAGTTTTTAACAGAAGATTCCTCATTCTTTCCTGTGTTACTGCATATCCTTTGACATTACTTTTATAGTAATCAGAAAATAAACATTTTGTTCCAAGTTTCCAGTTATAAGGAACCGAATTATTCAAAACAATATGTAACACAAAAACCTCATGTTATATTATTTTGTTTTAGGCTCAGAATATTCAAAAGTGGTCTTTCATACTTCAAATGTTTTAAGCCCAACTTATTGTTATGGTTGGTGCAAAGTCAGCCAGATGTTTAGACTGGATTTGGCATTTTTATCCCACTTATTGAGTCTTTTCCAATGACCTGGGAGAGGGAGATGTTCTTGTTTGATGGTATTAAAGGTGTCATCAGCAGGATATAAGTTCCACGTAATACTGCCTTTTGCAATTGACTGTGCTTTTGTCAATGCCAATGATGTTCAAGTACTACTCCAGATGTTTTGGGATTATACCCAAGCGACCTATTACTACTGAAAGTTACTGAATAAATCAATTACTTTGAATATAAAGGGGTTCTTTAGAAAGAATTACCATACATTTGTACCTAAAGGCAAAATAATGTCTATTTATATGCTTCTAAATGTTTTGATGGCCATTGCCTATTTTCATATTACTTGCTTGCCACCCCTGATTCTCAAACGGCAATAATTTGATCAATTTTGCTGGTTAATTCATCAGATTTAATTCCACAAAAAAGGTGCTTTGGAGCACAGAGGTGTATGATTGTAACATCTATTTGCAATTCTTTAAAACACTGCATCTTTGGGGGTACCATGCAGCTGATTGAATGAATTGCAAACAGCTGCTACATTTGGGTCCCCATGCATTCCAAAGCAACTGTATGGAACCGAACCTGAAGCATTACATCATTATACTTGTTGGCTTTCATTGTGAATTAGTCTATATTTTGTTTTGGGGTAATATTTTCAATTTTTAAAAAAGATTATATGAGCAGCTCAGGCAATGCTACAAAAATAACAAACTAAGAGTAGTGATAGAATGATTAATTCCAGATGAGCCAAAAAATAATAATAGTAGGTTACAGAAACATTTTGACACTGTTACCAATGGGGGGAGGGGTGTTAAATTATGTTTTTAAGGATCACTGACCTAGGCTGCCTCTTGGGTTTTCTTGAAGGGGATGCATATAAATGCAATTTATAAAATGTGCATGGGGTATAATTTTTTTTAATGAAAACAAGAGATGCTTCTCCAACAAACTCAAATCGAAATATCAATGTTGCAAAATACCAGAGTGGACTAATCAATGCTCAACTTACTTCATTAGTTTTAATTTATCTCTGTTTAATATAATGAGTATTTCTGCCTGATTATTATACATTACTACATTATTTTACATGTTTTACTTGTAATATTCTACTAGGTCTTAGTGAAGATAATGTAAATTGATGATCTTCAGTTTTAGTTAACCCTTTTGGATTTTATATATCTGAAAAGATGACTGGCAGCAATGTGAGTTTATAAAAATCTGATTTTAGAATTAGCGAGTATAATTTTTGGATTTCTGGATCATTTGGAGAAAGGTGTCTAAGAGATTTACTGCTCGGATATCTTTGTTTCTTACTCTATAGGAAAAAACAATCTCCAAAGAGGAAATAATCTCTACATTACAGATTCTCCACAGAGATCATATTGCATAACAAATATATTTTCTACAAATCTTGGTTCTGGTGAAGTTCCAAAATGTTCGTGGTAACTTAATTCTTCTGTTCTCTAAATTGATTAGTCCTCTTAATGAACCATTTAGCTGTGGAAAATTACAATCTTCTCTGCTCTTAGTAATTGAAGGAAGTTCTAATTTATTTTTGCACTTTATATGGCATACTAGTAGTTCTCCTTTAGAACTGTCTTATGAAATACACTTAGAAACAGTAGATCATATTTTAAGAAATCCCCATGTAATTTTAAAATTCTGTCCATTTATTTATCTGCAATTAAAACCAACTAAATGATAAAATCACTGAAGGACCTATAATTTTATGTAGATATATGCACTGTATTTTTAAAGAAACATAATGGCATTTTATTACACAGTATAACATAGGTTTTACTTAAAATACATATGTTCCTTTTGTAATAATGCTTTATACTCTCATAAACTTAGTAGTATTTTCTAATATGTTCAATTTAATTTTAAAATACAGCTCCAGACATATTATAATCCATCTCCTACCATTATAATAAAACCTTCAAAACCTCTGGCACAAGCTTAGGACATACATTAAGGTGGTGACAAAGGAGAATGCTATCCTATTATTTAGAATAAAACACAAAAGGTTGAACCCCACATTTAGAAAACAAAAGCACAGATATATTCAGAACGGAAATTAGTTCAAAAGTGATTATATTTCTATATATTCCAGGCCATGGGCCATTCTCTTCATGCTCTTTCAGTAAAGCTCTTACTGGTTTTGCTTTATCACTTTAACAAATTATAAACTATTCCTGCAAGTTTCTTTTGAATTTTAAAGTACTTGTGCATTAAGCAGAAATAAGCATGTTTAGGTAGCATTAACCTAGGGAAAATCTTTCACACTAGACACAGTAACCTCTTCCTTACCGCTAAGTGTTAATCTCTTCTGTTCCGAGCATGTTTCAGATGCCAATAACAGTTGGAGAAAGGTTGGTGAGATTTTTTTTTTCATGCAACTTTATTTGACAGCAGATCTATATCATTAGGGACTAATTACTCTCTGTAATATTGCTGCCAGGGTCAGTTTCTGACAAATGTTCATTGTTGTCTTTTCAAGGGTTAAAAATTACGTTTTACTGAAATCATTATGTAGGAATCCAAATGTGGATACTCTTCTGTTTGATGTTTATATAGGAGAGTGTCTTCCTATTGAAACATTTCACTCTTCTTGTTCCAAGTGTTTAACATTTTTCAAACAAGTATTTTTCTAAAAGCCATTAAGTATCCTTTGGGACCTCATCTCAGTGCAGAATATATGGTTTGCAGATTCCTGGTATTTCCAGAGTTTGTCTTTAAAAAAAAATGCTTTCTGATAGTAGTGGAAGGTTTCTTGTGTGATCTGGGAGAGCTGATGCTACTTAAAAATAGAAAGGTTTTAAAGGATTGTTTGCAACTATCTCCATTGCTTAAGCTCCTCTACAGAAACTCAGTCTCGAATCAACTTTATCTGAAAAACAGAGTGATGGCAATATGGAAGATAAAAGTAGTAATCGCAATATGGAAGGTAAAAATGAAGTTTCTTTCTGTAGGAAGTTTCCTTTTAAGAATCCTTGAGAAACTCCAATGTGAAATGGCTGGTTTTCTAACAAAATAAATGAATACCAAATCCTTAAAGTTGACCACTACTAGAAGACTGCATTCCAAGAGGTCAAAGTTGCATTATTTTTAAGAGGCCTTCTTAAGTAAAGAACTCAAATTATTGTGAGTTTTTGCAGACACATGAAAGGTAAAATGATTGCAGGTGAACAAAGACTTTGGATTTTATTTCAAAAAAAGTGCATAGGACCACAAATGCAGAACCTCTGCTTTAAAGAGTGTTTTCATGAGATGCTAAGCTGCCCTTTTCAGATGCCATGTGATTCAGGGGAAAGACCTAGAAAAGTTCACATTTGGATTCTCTTCTCTTTCTCTTCCAAAGCACCATTTTTTTTAATCAAATCCAAAGCAATGAAGAGCCATAAAATGTTGTAAAGGAGGACTAGGGGCGACATCGATAGCAATGTTCTAATATCCAAGGGTTTTCATAAAGAAGAGTGGGATAACTTCTTCTCCATAGCACCTGAAGGCAGGACAAGAAGCAATGGATGGAAACTAATCAAGGAAAGAAGCAACCTAGAACTAAGGAGAAATTTCCTGACAGTTAGAACAGCTAATCAGTGAATGCTCCAACACTGAAAGTTTTTTAAGAAGAGATTGGACAATCATTTGTCTGAAATGGTATAAGGTTTCCTATCTGATCAAGGTACCTTCCAACTGTGTTATTCTGTTATGTAATGAAATAGGTTGTGCTGCAGAGAAATGAAAACCACTCGTTTTTAATTTCCATGCCCATTCCATTTTTTCAGTTCAAATATTCCTGAATAGGAATCCTGTATACCTGATATGTTGAGACTTTCAACATTTTTGGAATAAAATCCCTTACAAAATACTGAGAAAATTTAGGAATGAAAAAGTAGAAGTATAGATTATTACAAGGACCGTTCACTTAAATGAACAGAGGCAGACAATAAATGAATACTTGTCAGAATAGAAAGTTTTAAGCAATGGGCCTCCTAAATATTTGTATTCAGATTTCTACTTTGTAACTTGATTTAGAGATGGGTAAACCCCAACAACATGGCAAGATCAGTGGTGGGTTGCTGAT